GGGATGCGGGGGTGTTTTCGGGTGGGCGGGGGTGGGGCACCCCCGCGGCGGGGGTTCGGGGGTCAAACCCCTACCCCGGCTTTGCCCCCGGGGGCCCCCGCCTGACAACCCTGGTCATGATTATCCGCCGTCGTCGCCGTAAACGCAAGGAGAGAGAAGGGGGTGCCACGTCATTACCTGCACACGGGAAGGAGGACTGCGCCACGTTAGCATTGCTGCGCCAAAGGTACGTTGTGCGCCGCTCGTTGTTACATGCCCCGCTGCGCCCGCTCCCGTTACGCACCAAGACCGCGCACCAAGCTTTGCTCGCTCGAGCGCTGCTATCGCTATCTGCCACAAGCTCTTTGCTGTCAAATCGTGCCTCGTTAGTAGCTGCGCACCTCCCGCGCTTTCCCCGTTGTGCGCTGCTGCTCGCTGTTGTCACGCGGTGCTCCCTGCCAATTGCACCCGTCACCTGAAGGAGATCACTTGCCTGTTTGCACGCTTGCGTGTTGCCATTGTCTGTGCATGACTGGTTCCCGAACGGACATCGCCCGATGCGCTATCGCGTGCTATCGCGCCGTTAGGCCAAAGGTCTTAGCAATGTGGAGGAGGTTGCCGCCATTGTTGGAAGAAGGCCGCTGAGAGAAAGGAGGCTGCCGCTCGAAGACGACAATCGTTGAAGAAGAACTCCACTGCGCCAGTTGGAGAGGAGCAGCCATAGCTACCGAGCTGAGGAGGGAGACGGCAACGACGAAGGAACAACAGAAAGAGAACGAGAGCGCGCACGCTAGGGGGGGAGAGAGAGAGAGAGAGAGAGAGAGAGAGAGAGAGAGAGAGAGAGAGAGAGAGAGAGAGAGAGGAGTGATACAAGATCGGTGTGTGACGCGCAAACCTCACGCCATGTGCTGTCTTTCGTTCGGAGTGCTAAAGGTGCGGAATGAAGGCCCAGAAACTGTGTAACCGGGTGAACGTGCGTTCACGTTCAAACGCGCGTGTTCATACCCCCCGGGGGCGCGTTCAATCGCGTTCAAACGCGCTGCGCGCCACGCGGCGCAGAAAAATTGAACGCGACACCGGGGGGGGTGTGCGCGCGTTGTGGACTACGGGGTGGAGGGCTTCGTTCAACAAACTACAAAAGTGCAAAAAAAAAAA